GCCACAGCTTGTCTTCCCGCCCAGGAAAGGGTATTTGGAAGAAGCTCTATCCTGTCTCCTTTTCCCCATTGGTGTAATCTCCTCCCAGCAGCATCCGCTGAAAGGGTTGTAGCCATCCTCGCCCCAGACAGAGCTGTCTTCCAAGTCACGGATGTTGACGAGGCCTGTGTGTGTATCTGCATGCTCACACCGCAGCCTGATCGATGCCTGTCAGAGCTCAGCATCAGAGTGACAGCTGCATAGCAGTCTGTTTGCTGAACACAACTCGTCCGTCAAGGGAAATCAGACGAAATCCATCTCCTTGTCCAAAGCCTGGCCCGATGGGCTGTGTCTGGAATGCCAGTCTTGTATCCCACCCTACTTTTGTGCCCTGAAAATCATTCCCTCTAGGATTTCAATGTTACTTTGATGGATCCCTTGGAGCAGAAAAATTACAGTTAAGAAAAGTATGTGAAAAGACCAATACTCAGCCCTACCCTTTAGGAACTTCTGGTTTAGAGCTGGTGCCTACTGTATGGGCAGTGCAGGTCTAGAGCACACAAGAATTGGCACATGATTATCTTAAACTGGTTGTTATAAACATAGAGCATAAATCAAATGCAATGAATAAAAAAATTGCTTACATATATTGAATAGGGAGTAGCCAGATTAAATAGTGTGTTATAGACATTTGGTGGGGAAGGGTCTCTTTAGAGAGTCTCATTAGAGACACAATTATGGGGTTTTAAGGCTTTCAGAATTGATAAGGACAAGTTTTGGCAGAGGTTCTATGTTTGTAAACCATTTAGGGCTTCAAGAAGCTCTGTCGCCCCATGTCTTGGCAGTAAGCCAAATAGCTGCTTCTCTTTCCTCTCCCTAAAGCCTCTTTTATCCCATGCAAGCATGTACCTGAAACTTCAAGAAGCCCCTTTCTAGCCTCAGCCACTCCAGCACTTCCATCTCCCAAGGCTTGGGGCACTTAAGTGGAGAACTGCCCTGTTCCCAGCTCTGTGAGATGCTGTATGAGCTAATTCTCTCCCCTTAGCCTGTCTTCCCTTCAAGGGTCTGAATCACTCTCAGGGTTCAAAGAAAAATGGTGCAGGAGGCCAGAGACTTTGGAAGGTAATATTTTCCCCCCACTACCTGGAAAACTATGGAACACAAAGTTGTTCAAAAGACAGAAGTGAAATACCTGGGCAATGGGGGAAAGAAATCAGCCCAGGAGCAAGAGGATGGAACATAGCAGCTGAGAGAGAGTGTTTTCTGGGGTGGAGGGGGACTTACAAAACCCACAAGCAGAGGATGGGGATCCTAGATAAATGGGAGACCAGGGAAAAGCCCTGGTTTCAGAGCGGCACCTTTTTCCTGCTGGTCCTCAAAGGGCCTTTCAGACTAGGGAAGGATTCTCTAGTATTGCTTCCCTGGAGTTACACTAGCCAGAATCAGCCCCCTGCTTGGGCCTCCACTCTCCACGCTGCCCTACCTCGGCAGGCTGAGCTTTTCCCCGACCCCAAGCCTGTGGAGTACAGCAGTCAAAGCTTTATTGCCCACACACTGGAGCCGCTCTGCAATAAAAGAAAATAAAACAAGGTAATGGGAATGGCTGGTACAGGGGGCGGGCCCCTGGAGAAATGGGCCTGCTGCTGCCGGTCTTCCCAGCACCACTGATCACCGCTAAGGCCACTGTCAGTAAGTCATCTGCAGTCCCCTAGGTCTCCTTTCTGGGGCTGAGTGAATGACCTGCATGGTGGTCAGATGGAGCGGCGGTGGCATGTACACAGGCTTACTTATGCAGACCTCTATAGAGCAGAGGCCTCAGTGGCTTCTCCAGCAGACAGCCCTCCAGTGGTAGGAAGGCAGAGAACAGAGATCGGCATCTCACCTCCTAAGGCAAACCAGAGTGGGGAGGAAAGGAGTCCCACCCAGTGGTGCCCCAGAGGTGGCCAGGAACAGAGGTTGATGTTCTGAAAGACAACCTTGGCTATACCGTATCTATGGTAAATGCTGGTAACACAGAACTATCTGGCAGAAGGGGAGTCTGGAAATGCCCAAAGGGAAGTGGAGAGAGGCATGAGCACCTGGCTAACTATCCTACCAAGGTCCCCACCTCACACATAGATTGTTCTGCATAGCAGATATGAATGTCTTGCACGGAGGCTGGCATTAGCAATGGTTCAGTCTCCAATAATTTTCATTTTGTCATGTGGTGTGTCTGGCCTTTGACCAAAGAGCTTTTAAATTCCTCCTCCTCGGCCCCCTTTTTCTTCTTCCTCTCCCTGGCTCCTCCATCGCCAAGCTCAATCCAGACTTGTTGATGAGCCTCAGCTTTTCTCTCCACACATGAGGCACTAAATCTTCCCTGCCTGCCTCGTGACCTACCATCCTTTCCCAAGCTCACCTACACCAATGAATACTTAATTCAAAACTGCTGCTGCCGCTCAGTAGTTTGTAATTCTGAGGCCGATCTCAACAGAGGAAACAAAATGGGCTGATGAATGTATTGAGAAAGGTAAGCAGAAAGCCATACACAGCATCTCTGTGATGTGGGGAAAGCCTTTCTTAATGATTTAGTTTAATAAGATGGATGTCTGCAGTGTAGAGTTATTCTAATAGGATGGATATCTGCCTGATCTATTGGCCTGCAGGATGGTTATGAGTTTTAAATTTCCTCATCTCCAGGGCAATAAATTCTCTGGGCTTTTAAGTTATAAACTTCGTGGGTTTCGTTTTGTTTTGTTTTGTTTTGTTTTTTTCAGTTGGGAAAGCCTGAAGGATTTTGTTTTGGTCAGAGCATGAAAAAGGTAGATCCAGTCAGGGGGTTGGGAGGCAGGAAGGTGGGCCAGGTTCTGTTCTTCTTTCAGCTTTACCCTCTCCACAGCCTGCACTCCTCCCCCTGGCAGCTCTGTAGGACCACGGTTTCCCATGTTCTTGTCATCTCAGTGTGGTTGATGTTCCCACCACAGGAATCTAAAGGAGCCCTTGTAGCTTCAGAGGTTAGAGCCCCTCTCTGGGTGTCTGCTGTAGCTTTCCTCTGCAGAGTAATGACAGCAGGGGAGGAAGGAAATGGGAACCTACTGGCCTCACAGCAAGGGGATGCCCTAACCTTACCACCTCCCAGTGCAGGTCCAAGAAGAAGAGGTTGCAGCCAGTGGCTCCCAGGCAGTCAGAGAAGTGATGATGAGTTTTGGGGCTGGGCTCATGCTGAGCAACCAACAGAGAATAGATGCAATGAGCCCCAAAGGGTAATGAGCCCAGAATGCTGCTAACTGGAGTGCTCTGCATGGGATCACTGGGGAAAGGAGCTCCGGCAGTTCTGTGCTGAGGGAAATTGAAGCTTCCTTAATGATTGTTTTCCTTTATACTGACACATCACTCCTCAGCCCAAGAGCAGGGCAACCAGGGCCAGCAGGAAGACAGATGCCTCTCCCCGGGTCTGCTTCCTGGCCTTTCTCAGCATGCCTTCATCCCCCACTTGCTGGGCCAGACCCTCTACCTCGGCTGCCTCACGAAACTTAGACATCTGGTAGTGTGCTGCTCCCAGATGTCAGCAGAATCATGCTGCCCGCTGGCTAGTGACAAGAGCCGGGCTCTCGAATTAGACAGGACTGAGTTCAAATTCTAGCCTTCCACTTATCAAATGACCTTGGGCAAGTTCTTCTCTAAGCCTCCATTTTCTTATTAGTAAAATGGGACTTAACCATTTCACAAAATGGTTGTAAGGATTAAGTAAAATAACATGCATGTCTTTGTGAACCTAATTCAGTGGGTAGCACACAGCAGGTACTCAATAAATGTTAATTCTCTTCCTCTTTCCTGTAACAAGGAGCTACTGGTCTTTCCTTCAGATGTGGAATTGGACAACTACAGAGCCTCTTGCCTAGAGCATTTATGATCTATTCCCTGCCAAGCCTGGCTGTTGGAAAGAACCTATGTTCAGGGGCAGTAGCTGGAAGGGCACAGCCATAATGAGCCGGCCTTTGCCCCAGATACTATATGCCACGAACTGCGTTTGGATCAGTAACAAAAGAAAAAAGGGCCTTGTTTCTCTGAGATTATCCTCCCTTTATGTTCCTTGAATCAAGCATTCTTAAAAGCAATGACAAATCAATAGATAAGTACCAGTGATTGGCATCTGTATTTCCATTTCATTCGATTCATTTAGCAAACATGCGTTGACCTACTGTGTGTCAGGCACCGTGCTAGGAGTTGGGACCGCAAAATCAAATAGTTTTCTGCCACAAAACAAGCTCTGTTTTCTGCCATCAAGGAGTTGGCAGACTCGAGCTCATCAGCAATCAGAATTCAGGGTGGTACAGTAGTCCCCCTTTATCCACAGGGGATACATTCCAGGACCCTCAGTGGATGCCTCAAACCACAGACAGTGCCAAACTAAACGTATACAATGTTTTTTTCCTATATATGCATGCCTATAATTTATACATAAGGTATTGTAAGATTAATAACAATAATGATAATAAAACAGAACAATTATAACAATATGCCAGCCTCACTACTCTTGTGCTTTGGGGTATTAAGTCAATAAGGGTTGCTTGAATACAAGTACTGTAATTCCATGACAGTCGATCTGGTCACAGAGAGGGAGAGGGCTACTGAGTTACAGGCGGGTAGCATCTACAGCCTGGATATGCTGGACTGAGGGATGATTCACGTCCCAGGCAGGAGGGCAAGAGGTTTCATCAAGCTACTCAGAACGGCACACAATTTAAAACTTGGAATTGTTTATTTCTGGAATTCTCCATTTAATATTTTCAGACAGTGGTTGATCATGGGTAACTGAGACTGTGGAAAGAAAACCGCAGATAAAGGGGACTCCTTTATATGCTCTGTAGTGCACAACTGGGGCTTCAGAAAAGATTTCCTGGAGGTGCCAAGGCTGAATCTGTAAGAATTAGACATCAGCCCAGCCAAGGGGAGAGGAAGGACATGAACTCCAGAGAGAGATTCACATGCAGCCATTAGGAATTGCATTTTGTCGCTGGTAATATAGACCAAAAACAGCATTCGCTTATCAAGATTAAAGTTTACTTCTTTCTCATAAAGGAAGCCCAGAGGTGGGCAGTTCAGAACTAATACAGTGGCACTTGGTATCAGCAGGGATCCAGGCCCCTTCATTCTCCTGCTCAGCATTTCTTAGCACACGGCTTCCATTCTCAGGGTCCAAAGTGTCTATGGATCTCCAGCCATTCACCTCGTCCTTCCAGTCAGGAAGCCAAAACACAGGAAGAAAGCGCAAAGATAGCAAATGCTTTCCTAAAAGTCCCACCAAGAAATTTCTGCCAAATCTCGCTAGTGTGGCCAGTGAGAAACGAGACTGGGGATCGTAGTCTTTCAGCTGACCATACTGGTACATGGAATAAAAGAAACATAAAAAGGAGAGAATGCAGCCAGGGAGATAGATCTCTACCACACACAGTGTGTCCAAAGGCACAGAGACGTGAAACTTCAGTGTCTGTTGAGGGAACACAGAGATCAATCGGCCCAGATCAAAGAGTCCCTGTAGTATAAGGCAAGTAGGAGGTGGTGGAAATGAGACTAGAGACGCAAATCCACATTTCCCTTCAGCTACTGAAAGTGGCCAGTGCTCAGGCCGGAGCTGGACAGGCAGCATCTGCCAAAGGGCTAGTCCCTTAGCCTGGCGATCAGGCCAGGATTCACAACCTCTAGTTCACAACACCCTGCCCTCTCTCAGAGGAAAGCTCTCATGTAGTTCCAGAAATCATACAGGCCTGACCCCCTGCTAAGGCTAGGCAAACAAGCTGAGCTATACATCAGCCAAAGGCCTGCAGTGTTCCCTTACAGAACAACAATGCTCAGTCACTCTGTGACCTAGGTACACTCAACATACGTTTCTATTCTCACTACATGTGCTTAGCACAATAAAAAGAGCCAACAGTTATTGAGTTCTTATTGTGTACTAGATGTTGTTCTAAGAGCTTGCTGTATATTAACTCATTTAAACCTTGTGAGGGAGATGTTCAGCTTTATTACTCCCATGTTACAGCTTGAAGAAACTGAAGCACAAAGTCTTAAAATAACTACCTCCAGGTCCCTGAATGGCAGAGGCCAAATCTGAACTCAGGTAGTCTGGCTGCAGAGCTCTCACTGGGTACCTCTGTGCAGTTCTGCCAATGGATATCACCCCGAAATCAAGAGGAAAATGTTGGACTAGAGGCAGGTAGGTGAAGGCAGGACCAGGCACAAAGCATTTTGCTTCTCTTTTATGCAGGGAGGGATCGAAAATTCATGCAACTGACCATATCTGGTAAAGGCTGGGCCTTCAACCTTTTTCTCCTCCTTCTGACCCCTTTGATCACTTCCAAACATTCTGACTCTAGTTCAGCATGGTCCATTCACAAGCTTCCACATACATCATCATTTCTTCCCATGTCATTATCCCAGCCATCACAGGATTTTTATACATGTTGTTCAGGTTCCTCTCGTTCCGTCCCTCCTTCCCTCCCCTCCTTCCTTGAATCCAGCCCCTGATTCATCTATCCCAGATCTGTCTCAGCAGGTGGGTGGGTTCTGACTGTGCCCCTTGCCCATCCTTCAAGTCAGCTCTCTCCAGCTTTTCCTCTGAGCTGCTTGCACCTTCTCCTGGCTTCGCTCTCCCCGTCATCCCCTGTGTTTCTCTAATGTCTACTTGCACCTCCACTGAGCTCAGCATGGCTTTCTGTCCCAAAATTCTACCCTCGTTCCTTCTCCTACCCTACCACTTATGCACTATTTCTAAAGTGTGACCCTAGACATTCCCTATGCTGGAACATGTCTGCCTTTCTCCCCACCTGTGCAGTCCCATCCTTTAAGGTCCGATCCTACCCGAAAGAGTTTACCGACTCTTCAGTGCTCAGAGCTGGTTCTCTCCCTTGAACCCCCCTAGTACCTGCTGCCTGTTCCACTCAGCAGTCATGTGTTTTACATGGCATTTTGTCATTGACTGACAGGATGTGGCTTTGTCATGTCTTCTCATCTAAATCATAGGCTCTTTGAAGACAGAAGTGAATTCTTTCTCCTTTTAGATTTACTGCAGTGCCCAATACAGTGCTTTTCTGCTTAGAAGATAACAAAAACCCATTTCTTGGTCAGTTGGTTAAAGTGAGTGTAAGGTCTCTACATACCCTTAATGATTTTTATACATTCACATTCTCTCAACATGTGTCTTCTCACTTTGAGGAACCCTAATCATTTTTTTAATGTTCTCGTATGTTTCATCAGCTCAACTAGGCATCCCAGTGCTTCTGTAGCCCTGCTGTCTTTCTGGAGATGCAGTGCTGAACCACAAGCATCCTTCCTTGCAGTGTACATTGTACTGTGGTACAGCTTTAACCTGCATTTTCTGCTGTTTGTCTGGCCTTGGAAGCTGTCTTTGTTAGGAAAGCTCTGGACAGCAACCAGGAATATAGCCACACAGAAGGTGCTGCTCAGAAACAAAAGAGCCCTACCAAGCACAGTCTCCCCCAGGAATCCAGCACCTTCTCTTGATGAAGCACTCTGTAGAATCCTGCTGCACGTGCCCCAGCTATGGGGCTGGGGCTGGGTTTCAAAGAAACAGGAAAATAGCCTCTTTCAGAGGGCTTAACATGTAAGAGGTAATAGATTACCAAGAGCAAGTGAATATAGGACAGAACATGAATGCCGAGATGGAGTTACTTGTTAGGAAGAGTGGATCAGGGCAGGCGTCCTGGAAGACAAAAATAGTGGGTGTGGGTTGCTGCTTGCAAGCAGTTGCAACTATTTTCTTTATGCATTCCTTGACAACGCCTTCCTGAATTCAGGTGATGGCTTAACACTCCTTTACTGGTTGATGAACAGATCTCCTTCTAAGTAGGCTCTGCCTCCCTCCTTGGCATGTGGGAACTGCAGCTTGTCTGGCCTTTGAGCCATAATGCAGGATCATGGTATCAGGGACTGGCAGGGCTGTAGGAGATGGGTTGGGCAGCTCACACAACAAGCAGATCAAATGGGCCAGAACAGAGGGTCAGAGGAAATGACAGAAGGAGAGTCAGAGGAAATGAGGTTGGTGACATGGAAGCATGATACCATCAAATATGCTCTCTCTGGGAAGATACAAGATGCTGAGAATCTCCTCTGAGTCCTTTTTTATTTTTTCCTGTCTTCTCTGCAGTGTCTTCACAAGCACCTGCTTAAAATAAGGATGGGGCTTGGCCTTTCCCTTCCTCCTCACTACTCCTTACCTTCCCACTCTGCATTTTCCTGCCTGCTGCCTCTACGCAGCGGCTCCGGAGCAGTGGGCAGTTGAGAGCAACTCCTGAGAGCACTAAAAGAAATCACATTGCTTAAGTGGTATTTACACCAAGGGGTGGGGTGGTGGTGGCAGGAGTCTCAAAGCTTTTTCCAAGGGCACTGTGGCAGGAAGTCCATGGTGGGAAGAACGGCATCCAGGTGTCCTCTATCCGAGGAGGCAGCTATTCTTATTCAAGGGAGAGGTCAGTGTTCTTCTCCAGAGTCAAAGAGATTCTCTTTAAAAGTTCAGTTGTGACTTCTGGGACATCTTAGCAAGAGACACTGGGCATCTTCATTTCCTCTCTCCATTTCAGGACACACCTCCCTTGGAGGAGTGCTTTCTACCTGGAAAGCAGCGCAGGTATCAGTGGAATTCTGCTTAGCACAACAGAATTGGGAGGTGGAGCAGGGAGAATGAGGCCACCTTGGCCCCCCTGAGGGGCCACAGGACAGCTACTTGATGCCTGAGAACAGGGCAGAATCAGCCTGGGCAAATAGTAGAGTTGAGGGGCCACCCACTGCGTCCTATGACCTTGTAACACTGAATCGTATTTGGGACATTGGTTTGAAGTGGAGAGAGAACGATAATTGAAATTAATGAGACCCTGGCTTCTGTCAAGCAGATGGGCAGAGTCACATCAGCACCCATGCTGCTGACCCATCCTACAGATTGTTCTTTCCCGTCACTAATGTTTCTCCGTATCTCACCTCTGATCTCATTGTATGGCTTTGAGAACTTTTTGGAGCTGATCACAAGACCCAAAAGAACATCAAGAGCCCCTGTCCTGGGCAGTGGGTAAAGTGGAAGAAGGAGTGTGGTCCCCGTGTGGAGAAGTTGTGGGGTCAAGATGCCCGGACTAGGCAAGGACCACTGGGGCCCACGGCAGAATGAGGAAGGCCAGAGGCAGCACTGCTCATTGTGACCCATACGTCTCTAGGTCACAAACTGCAGCCCTGCACTAGGAGTTTGAGAGGGCTGTGGCACATTAGAGCTCCACCCTGAGGGTGTAAGCCATGCCATATTTTAATTGTCATTAGCAATAAAAATTTAACATCGAGGAAACCCGACCTCCACACAGAAGAGGGCATGGGCCAGGGTCATTAACCAGGCTGATCCAGCCTCATGACATGCTGGATTTGTCCTTTTTTCACATGTATGTGTTCAAACCTTATAACTGATAGCTTTTACTCACAGGCTTGTCTTTGCATTACTGAGAGGCCAGAGCAATCCTGGGCCCCCCAGGTCATACCGAGCAAGAATCCAGTTGTCCTGTGCACAGGAGGGTAAATGCGGAATAGCCCTCTAGCACTGGCGCTGCAGGAGCTCAGAGACCAGGCTCAGGGGCTCAGCATCATCTCAAAGGCCTCTTCACTTTCCTTGCTGGGTTATAATAGGTTTGAAACAGTTTGGGAACATGCACAGTCCCCCACAGTGTCCAGATCTTCTCTCTGCTCTGCCTAAAGGCAGCTCCTTAGTGGGGTGAGAGGAGAATCTTGGACTTTTTTATTCTGTGTCCGATCTGGAGTGTAGGTTAACGGGGCTGCTGCCTTCCTGCAATGGTGCTTTTGTGTGGATCAGAAAAAGTTGCCCTCTCTGGGCCATTGTACTCAGCATATACTATGCACGGCTTGGTGAGAAAAGCAGGCCTGTGCCAGGCTTTCTGCTTGGCACATGGAGGCAGGGTAGATTTAAGGACAGGTAGGAGTGAGTTGCGCACAGGGACATAGGACTGCCTCAGAAGGGATGGTACCTTCTTAGCCAGCCTAATGATAAAGGAGGCGTGAGGACAAAAGGAAAGAAAGGGGGCAAGGGAGGCCCCTCCTTTCACCCTCTGGTTCTTTCAGTTATGCCTCTCATGGAGTTAATCAAACATTAGTCAGGGAGGGATAGGCATGTGTTTGATTGAAATTGTTTGGCATTTCTTATATTCAGTTTTATGAAACAAGTAAATTGCCTGATCCCTAGCTGAGAGTATAGAATTATCTCTGTTCAATTATCTGTTCAAACAGATTTTTCTCTCTGGTGCCTTCTTCTGGCCTGTAAGAGGGATTGGCGTCTGTGTCCCTTTTGCCAAGAAATTAGATGGTGAAAAAGAAGGTGCTCCACATCCCGTTCCCACCCCAACATGGGACACTCCCGTCTTATCCTCGAAGCTTTTGGCCTCCACGCCCACAGCCCAGTTTTGAGAATTCTGAAGGGATTGAGCTAGGGGTTGTCATCCCAATCTAAGACCCGGATTCCTTCAAACCCAACAGCAACTGCCTTTCCTCAAAGGTTTCCTTGTTCCAGAGGGCTCGAGACCAGCACCCGGCAGGTGACTTGTAGCTTTCAGCCGTCTCAGCCCTTGTACTTAGATGCTTCCTGAGGTGACTGTGTCCTGACCAGCACCCCCTAATCCCTTGCTTGGAGGGCTTCACACTAGACCATGGTCTGGGCTCCGGGGGTCCAGGCTTCATGACATCTGTGGCCTCACCCCACCTCCCACCTCTGCTAATGTCGTTAGCTCGTGCCCTGTCCTCACAGCTCTTCCTAGGCTCTTTCATGTTCACTTCTGCTCTTCACCCCTTCCTTGCTGAGGGATGGGTGGTGAGGAGGTGGTGGGTGTGTGGGAGACCAGAGGGAGGCACGTGCGGCTGCTGCCTGCACTGCTGCCTGGATAAACACAGGAGGCCATCCTCACTCCAGTTATAGTCAGTACAGGCAAAGGCAAGTGCAAAACAGCCCCTTCTGTTCATGGCATCGGGGCTGTGCTGCCTCTGAGTCATCACTGCTGGCCTCACTGACTGAAGCCTGTTTCTGCCCCTCTGGGCTCCCACAAGCATACTTGTTGTGGCAGGGGCAGCTGAGGGATGGTCCTCTCACCTTAGAGGAGTTCTCGAAATAAGCCTTCTCTAGTCAGTTTGGTGCCATGCATTTACCCAAAGGTAGTGTTCTGTCCAGGGACTTTCCTTCTCCCACGTCACTGCTGGCGATCTAGAGAAGCTAGAACCTTTTGCCTTTCCTCATCTATTTATTGAATGCCTACCAGGTGCCATTAATAAATACCCATTGTAATACTGTCATGGTGATATGAACAAAATGCTGTGAGAAAAAGCCCTATCCACATAAGTAATGGAGTGGTTCGAATAAAATCACATCTGTGCAGAATCTAAGGGGTAAGTTGGGTAGGAGTTTGCAGGTGAAGTCATAGGACGGAACATTCCAGCCAAAATGAATAGCATGTACCAAGGCCTGGAACCGTGCAACTTGTCTGTGGAGCTGGGAGTCGTGTGGCCTGACTAAAGCAAAATAATGAAGGCCACAATGGCAGGACTTGAGAGCAGGAAGAGCCCAGCTCTGAGGAGCTTATGCTGTGCTGTACTGAGGAATTCCAACATTAGTGGAGAACAAGGAAAGGATTTCAGCAGAAGGGTGAAGTGATCAGATTGGGATTTAAAAAAAATAATAATAATAACAACATTTATTGAGCACTTATTATTCGCCAGACTCTCCTTAAGTGTTTAACTTGAATCAGTTCACTTCCTCTTCACCGAAGCCCTTCGAGGTAGATAGCATTCATTATTATACCCATTTGACCAAAAGGTAAACCTAGACCCAAAGAGGTTAAAAAAACACCCACTCTGGATTAAGCCAGTAAGTAGTAGAGCAAGCCCAGAAGGAGGTGGTCTGGCCCCAGAGCCTGCATCTGACCGTGGTGCTGTACTGCCTGTGATGAACCACACCCTCCAGTATCATGGAGGGGTCCTTAGAGACAAGTCTGGTACAGGGACAGCAGTGGGGGACCTGTTACTCAAAGCTGGGCATGGCAATAAGGATAAAAAAGAGGGGAAGAATCCATAGAATCAGTGTGTACTGGAGATTGGTGTGGACCTACCTATGGAGCCCAGGGGTGATTCCTGTGCTACTCATGCTGAGACCTGGGATGAGAAATGAAGGTGGAAGAGCAGGTTTCATAGTGAAGGTGAGAGATTCAGGATGGGACTCATAACATTGGAGATTTGCCTGGTGGAGTTGAATTCTGAAGTGACCTCTGCACTAGAGGTGAAAGTTGAGTTCTATAATTCAGAGAGTGGTGGGATGCAGGGACTGTCTACGGCTTCAAATAGCCCCTGGGGAACATTCATATTCAAGGGCCATGTTGTCGGGGAAGAATTCGCAATTGCTACTAGGAAAGCAGGGAGAAAAAGCCAAGACTGGGAAACACAGAGGCCTAAAAAAAGAAAGTCTCAAAAAGGAAAGGGGGTGCTTGACTTTTAAAGATATTTAAAAGGTCAAAAATGATGAAATCTGAGAAGAAATTATTTAAATGGCAATTAACAGGTCTTTGAAGTAATAGTGACATTGGAATACTGACTGGTAGCCAGCTGCATTGGCTACAGGAGTGAAAAGGGGCTGGCAATGTGCAGAGTACTCCCTGGGTAAAGAGAAAGAGGTAGACTTGATGGGATGTGAGTCAAAGCAAGGCTTGCTAAGATGGACAAGATGTTTGCAGGTAAAGAGTTAGATGCTGGTGAAGAAGGAAATCAGGAAGGTGATGACAGAAATAGGTAACTGATGGAAATGGGTACCTGAGGAAGCAGAAGAGGTTGTGATCTGGAGCCAAGTTCATTTCTTTTTCTGCAAAATGGATGGAAGGGAATGAAGTAATCATGGATGCTAAATCCTTCTTAACAGCAAAGTGTGAGTCCCCGTGGGAAACCCACAGTGGTTCAGGTATAGGAGCCTGAGAATCAAGGTCCACAAAGCAGAGTGAACTGGCCCCATTGGAGGGTCACAGGTCAGCTACTTCCTGCCTGGGAGGGAACAGGGCAGGGGTCTGCACCGTCCCACAGCAGGCCTTGAGATCAGTTATATAGGTACAGGTACCTGCAGAGGGAAACTGACATGTGAACATAGGTACGGGTACCTGCAGAGGGGAACTGACATGTGAACTTGACCTGACTGGACAACATTTGGTTACTTTCAGACCAGGTCAAAGATTTAATAACCTCATGCAGTTACTCCATAGATCATATACCGATTTTCCCCAAGAAAAGAGGCCAGCTGTCTTCTCACATCCCTAGCTCCATCCCTTTAGGGCTTGGGTATAGCTCTGAAGCCATAGAGGTTCTTTGACTGGGCTTGGGAGAACATGGGCCACTGCAGCTGACTCCATGGGCCAAACCAGTGTTCAAGATAAAGAACGGAGGCACCAAATGGAAGGCAGCCTTCTTTCCTGGTTTTTTGCCTAGGACTGCCCTTCACAGTAACTGGGAACATGAGGAGGAGCTGTGCCATTCAGGCATGCCCGCTCTCAGAAGGCATTCCAGACCCTGCCTCCAGCTTGGGAGACCTTTGGGAAGAGGGGTGAGGGATGGAACGAGAGACAGAACAGAACTGATTCTAGCCACATCCCTGGCACCAGCCTCAGGGAAGAGTGTTAAATCTCCCTCCAGCCTCCAGCACGGGGTTTTCCTGGGAAGATGAACAGTCTGCTTCCTTATTGCCTGCACCAAAGGAACAGATTGCGTCAGTTTGTAAACTGTGTTAGCGCTCACAAAGGCCTGGAGTCAGCAGGTTCGCATTTCCCAGCAGACCCAGATGACGCTGATGGCAGTGGCTGCTGCCTCACTGCCTCAGGCAGGACCAAAGGCAAACAGGCAGTAGGGACCAAGTCCTTCTCCCCCTACCCCTACCATCCCACCCCTCATCCCTGAGGTAGGGAAAAGGCATTCCAGTAGGGAGAGAAAGCCACCCTGAGCTTCTACAGCCAGCTCGCCCACTGCCCAGGCCTTTCCTTTCCAGGAGCCTCTTGGCCCCTCTTGCTGGTGTGCCAGCCCAGGCCTGATTTCCAGGCATTTCTAGCACACCAATGCCAGAAAAGAGGTTTT